ATATATGATGAGTGTTTAAATTAAATGACATGTTATCATTAATCCCTCTGAAAATATCAAGTGAGAAATATCCTTGTCACTTCACATGCACTTATTCCATCATTTTTGTCACTTTTTGAAGCACTTGTTTAAGTCTTTTTTTTTTCCTGTCCCGGGGATCAAACTCAGGACCTTGTGCTTGTGAGGCAGGCATGGTGCCACTGAACTAAATCCTCAGGCCCACTTGTCAGTGTTCTTTAAGGTGTTAGTAGGTAAATGAGCCAGGTGTGGTGGTGCATGCCTGTAATCCCAGCACTCAAGAGGCTGAGGCAGGAGGAGTGCTTCAAGTCCAAGGTCAGCTTGGGCTACATAATGAGTTCAAGGCCAGTCTGAATTACACAGTCTCAAAAAAAAATCCCACCAAAAAAAAAAAAAAAGTGAATAGTGCTGCCACATACCACCCAACAAAAAGGCGGACTCTTAAAAAATTGTGGCCAGGGCAGAGGATTTAGCTCAGTGTTTCTGCCGCCTGCCTTGCAAGGGCAAGGTCTGAAATTCGATCTCTGGTACTAAAAAAAAAAAATTGTGGCCAGTTATGGTAGTACACTCCTGTAATCCCAGCACTTAGGAGGCTGAGGGAGGAGGATTGCTCAGAGTTTGAAGGCCGCCTGGACGATTTAGGGAGTTTAAGGCCAGCCTGGACTACATAGAGAGACCCTGTCTCAAAAAATAAAAAACAAATAAAAAAAGAAAATCAAATTACACACACACACACACACACACACACACACACGCACGCACAGTAGTGCGTCCTCATCCACCTTACTCACTGGATCTGGCACTGTGACTTCTGACTCTTTCACAAGTCAAAATGACTTGAAAAGTAAATGAAAAGTAAACATTTTTAATTGATTCAGGCTATTGAGGGAGCCAGAACAGTGCAATTAAACACACTCATGAAAGAGGACTTCCAGAACTGCTTCAGAAAATGTCAAGAATGATAGAATGAGTGTGTTCAAAATGAAAGGAGTGTTTTCAGTGGGACTGATGGCAATGTGTCTTTTCTAGCAATAAATTTAAAAGAAATTAAATATTCATCATATTTTTTGTTTTGTTTTGTTTTGTTTTTTGGTACCAGGGATCGAATTCATCATATTTTTTGACTACAGGTCATATCTGTCTACAGATATACATATAAAAATGTTTTTTCCTGAGGCTGGGGATTTAGCTCAGAGGTCCCGCTGCCTGCCTCGAAAGCGCAAGGTCCTGAGTTCGATCCCCGGTACCAAAAAAAACCCAGTTTTTTCCCATACATACATACATACATGTTATAAAGTTTAATTTATAAATTAGGCACAGTAGGAAATCAACAACAATAACAAAATAGAACTACAGCAATGTACTATAATAAAAGAATTGTCGATTTTTATTTCTTGAATTTTCTCTTTTTTTTTTCTTTTTTCTGTGCTGGGGATTGAACCCAAGCCCTTTCATATGTTAGAAAACATGGAATTTTCCATTTAATATTTTCAGACTTTTGCTGATTATAGGTAACTAAAGTCATAAAAAAGTAAAACCAGGGCCGGGGATTTAGCTCAGTGGTTTCGCTGCCTGCTGCGCAAGCGCAAGGACCCAAGTTGGATCCCTGGTACCAAAAACAAACAAACAAACAAACAAACAAAAAAAGTAAAACCAAAGATATGAGAGGACCACTATACATACAAATGTTACTAATAGCCTTAATGTGACTGTATTACTTGTGACCTTTGACCACTTATTTATATTTTTCAAGTATTTCACAATGAATGTAATTTTGTTTCTCTGTTTTGATGGTACTAGGGATTGAACCCAGGGCTTACCCACTGAGCTACAACCCTACTCCCTTTTTTGTCTTTTATTTTGAGACAAGGTCTTGCTAAGTCTCTAAGTTGCCCAGGTTGGGTTCAAAGATGTGATCTCCTGCCTTAGGGATCAGAGGCATGTGCCACCATGGCTGGATGAATGTAAATATTTATAAAGAGAAAACAAACCAAAAATTTTATTTCATTATTTAGTTTTTTATTTTTTTGAAACAGGGTCTCACTATGTAGTTCAAACTGGCCTTTAACTCACTATGTAGCCCAGGCTGGCCTCAAACTCCTCCTGCCTCAGCCTCCTGAGATTATAGGTGTGTTCTTTCAAAACCAAAACTTTTATAAATGACAAAAAGATAAAGTTACCTCCCTCAGGTAATTCACCAACCTCCTCTCAGGAGTGATATTCCCAAACTGCTTCCTCTATAGAACTAGACTAGCACTTTAGCTCAAAAGAATATACTAATGGGCGGGGATTTAGCTCAGTGGTTCTGGTGCCTGCCTCGTAAGCTCAAGGTCCCCAGCTTGATCCCCAGTACCAAAAAAAAAAAAAGAATATACTAATAGGGAGAAAAAAAGAAACATACAGAGAGGATGTGCGGCAGAGTTTCTTCTATGGATTTTTGTGGGGGTTTTTGGGTACCAGGGATCAAACTCAGGACCTTGTGCTTTTGAGGCAGGCAGTGAAACCACTGAGCTAAATCCCCGGCCCACTGCAGAGTTTCTTTTTTTTTTTTTGTACCAGGGATTGAACTTGGGTCCTTGGGCTTGCACAGCAGGCGGCAAAACCACTGAGCTAAATCCCCGGCCTCGGCAGAGTTTCTTAACTTTGGCCGTACTGATATTTTATAGCAGATAACTCATCATTGTCGGTGTTCTCCTGACATTACAGGGTACACAGCACCATCTCTAGCTTCTACCCACTAGATGCCAGGTGTAAGACACCAGCTATGATGATCAACACTGATTTCAGATATGGACTAATGCCACAGGGGTATAACCAGCCCTGCAGGAGAACCAGTGGTCTGCACACTTAGGTCTTAGGCTGGCTCAGTCACTAATTTCCTGGAGACTTTAGGAAAGTCACGTCCCTCTCCACACCTCCCTAGATCTGAGATGCCTTTAGTGTAACTTCTCCAAAGCCCCTACCAGCTTTGGCATTTATGGAGTTGATAAATTCTTATCTTTTATGAGGTTAGCAAAGTTAAATGGATTAATTAGTATAATCCAAATGTACTGGTACTGTAATTGGATTTATGTATGAATAATGAAAATAAAATAACCTTTGGGTACTTACCTGAATTCAGGACTTGTAGACAATTTCGGTTTCCTGACTGGTCAGCTCCTCCAAATACCCAGATGCTGCCAGGTGTGCAGGAGGGAACAAAGCTGGCATGTTCATAGCGAGGCAAGAGGCCCTCCTGGGTGGCCAAGTCCCATCGGTGTGTTCCTAGAAAACATTTCGCCCAGTTCCTAGATTGGGGCTGCCAACTGCTTTCCTCGGCTGACAAACTTAGGGAAGGCAGTGAGGAGAAGAGGACCAAAAGCATAAATAAGAGCCAGGTTGGTAGCATGTGCCTGTAATTTCAGCACTCAGGAGACTAAGGCAAGAGGATTGCTATAAGTTGAAGGCCAGCCAGAGCTACATAGTGTGACCCTGTCTCAAAAATCAATAAAATAAAGGCATAAATGAACAACCACTGAGTAACTTAAAAGAAATGTGGTCAACTTCCAGAAAGTTTGACAGTAGACACTTTGGGGGCTGTCTCCTTAGTCTATAAACTCTCTTCCATGGAAACTCTTCCTGCTTTCCCTCCTAACTGCAAGGGTAGAGCCCATACAACATGTGCATACCATACCTTAACTTTGTATCATGAGCTGCCTGGGTGGGAGGTAGCCACTGACCCAATGGGCCAATCAGATCCACTCTCTCATGAGGCTGGGCTGTATTTCTAGCTCTTGGATTCTACAAACACCCCTGGTATCTATCTACCTACCTATCCATATTTTTTTTCTGGTTTAAATGGGTTTCTGTTACCTGCAACTAAATGATCTCTAGCTAAAATGAGTTCACTGAATAATAATGCCTAATCTATTAGTTATTTTAGTTAGCAAACTACTTATATAAGATGTTCATAGGCATTACCGTGTTGGATCATTACGACTGCTAAATGAACCAGTCGCTTTATAGGATACTCAGGTCCAGATAGTGTAAGTGGTTTAGCCAGAGTCACAAAGATAGTAATAGTTGGCAAAAAAAATTGTAACTGTGGGCTGGGGATATACCTCAGGGTAAAGCACATGCCTCATCATGCACAAGGCCTGCATTTGTCCAGATCTCTAAAACAAACACACACGTAACTGAACTAGTCAGTGAGCTCCTAGAGGCTTGGGAAAGATTTGTGCCTTTTTGTCCACCCAGTGCTGGGGATTAGAAGCGGGACCTTGCACAGGCTAGGGAAGCACTGTGCTGGAAATCACTTACCTTTAATCTCCTAGTGCAGGGTGTAGAAATTCCAATGACTAGACAGGAATAGCAAGGACTACGGCAAGTTGGAGAATAAAAGCTCCATCAATAGGTGGCAGCTCAGCTCCAAATAATTACTGCCAAGCAGTCAGGCAAGCTTACTGATGTCAGACCTTTAAAGTTACCACAATAGGGGGCCGGGGATTTAGCTCAGTGGCACCTTGCCTGCCTCACAAGTGCAAGGTCCTGAGTTTGATCCCCAGTGCCACAAAAAAAAAAAGTTACCACAACACCAAGTGGGGTACTAGCTCAGTGGTAGAGCACTTGCCTAGCATGCAAAAGGCCCTAGATTAATCTCCAAGAAAAGAATGGAGGGGGAAAATTCACAAGAAGCCAAACCTTTTTCTCCTGCTGTGCCAAGGACTGAAACCAGGGCCTCATGCATGCTAGGCAAAAATTCTACCACTGAGCTACATCCTCAGATTGTAAATTTTTTTTTTTTTGAGACAAGGATTCACTCTATAGTTTAGGCTGGGCTTGAACTCACTATGTAGCCTGGGCTGGCCTCGAACTTGCAGCCTCCCGAGTGCTGGGATCACAGGTATGTGCCACCACACTGGGCTCAGATTGTAAATTTTAAAATGTAGAAGCCTGCAGCCCTGGTTTGTAGACAACTTAAGATACCAACAGCTGGGCTGGGTATTTAGCTCAGTGGTTTCACTGCCTGCTGCGCAAGCACAATGACCCAAGTTCGATCCCCGGTACCAAAAAAAAAGATTGCAACAGCAACAGACATGTTATGTGAACCTAATAGTAACTCATTTATAAGGTTGTTAATTCATTTATTCATTGAAATAAAGCACCCGATCTGTGCAAGGTGCTCTGTCTGGTAGTGGCTGGGGATGCAATGAACAAAATAACCAAATTCCCTGGGTTTCTTTTGGTACCGGGGATCGAACTTGGGTCCCTGCACTTAGCTTAGCAGGCAGCGAAACCACCGAGCTAAACCCCTGGCCTCCAAATTCCCTGTTTTCAAGCAGCTTATATTCTTGTGGGAAAGACAGACAAGAAACAATCACATGCTAAGAGCTGAGAAGAGGGAAATGGCCGAAGAGTACATGATACCATGGACACATATATGAGGACAATGTCTAAACTAGCCCAAAGGTGTCAGGGAAAGCTTTCTGACATTTGACCTGGGATCTGTGCCAGATGACAAAATGGGAAGGGGCTTCCAAACAAAGAGCACTGCATGTGCAATGGTATGGAGGCCAGAGTTCAGGATGTAACCAAGGAACTGCAAGACATTCAGTGCAGCAAATGTGGGTTGGGCAGACTCAGATAAGGTTGGAAAAAGCCTTGAACAGGGTAGGTGATGTAGCTGGATTTGTATTTAAGACAATAATCTCTGGCCAGGTATGAAAAAATGCATTGTACAGAGGGTAAAGCTGGAAGCAGGAAGTCTCGCAAGGAGGTGAGTCCAACAGCTAACTCAGACATAACAGTGTGTTGGGCTACAGCAGTGGTCGTAGCGGAAGTGAGAAGACATGGCTGAAGACAAGGCGGTATCTAGGACTTGATGACTGATTGGATTCATGGATGGAAGGACAGACAGGAGTCACTGATGTCTACTAGAGAAGCATCTGATAAATGAATGGCTGGATAGCAAGGGCTCCATATAAGTTCTTTTCTCCAAAACAAGGAAGTATTTGTTTTCCAGATGTGTACCAGAGCTCAGCTGAGATCTTAGGGACCTGTCAGAGATGCCCGTTTTTTAAAGGAACACTGTACCATGTGGTCTGAGCTTGTGTTCTTAGGGATGCTCTGCTCATGGCTACAGAACAGAGCCAGCGGTGCTCCACAGCTATTGGTCTTACCTAGATCCATGGTGTGCACATCCGAGAAGCTTTGGTTTGGATTTGCTCCCCCAACAATGAAGATCTTCCCTCTCCCAGTGTCACCAATAGGAGGTAAATATGAGCAGCTGTGGCCAACTCGAGCACAAGGGCTGTCTCCAGGGGGAGTCAAGGTGTACCTGCAAAGCAGGAAGTATTGCTAGGAGTTCAAGGCTGAGGCAGAAAGATCACTGAGCATTCGAGGCCAGCCTGAACTACATTGTGAGACCCTGTCTCAAAAAACAATCAATCAGGGCCGGGGATTTAGCTCAGTGGTTTAGCCACCTGCCTTGCAAGTGCAAGGTCCCGAGTTCAATCCCTGGTACCAAAAAACAAACAAACAAACAAACAATCAATCATACGAAAAACTAGGCAACACCATGGTCCAATGTGTGCTGGGAATTAAGCAGGATGGACACAGGGAAATCAGAGTGGAAGCTGTACTTCAAGGTTCCGGGGAATGCTATCCCTCTCCGCGGCCACCCATGAGCCCTGCATCAGCTGGGATCACACTTCATCACCATCCCCTGCTTTGTCTGCACCCTCGATACCCAGAGACTATTTACCTTTGGCCCCCCAAAGCCTACACAGCAGCTGCCCCCCACCCCAGGCCAGAGTTTTTTTGAGGAATGAAGGGCTGATTGAGCAAACAGCCAAGAGACACTGGCACCAGTTTAATCCAAATTCAATTCCCTAAAAATCCCAAAAATGACTCACACCTCAGGGAAGACACGGAGTTGGAACTGAGGATGCCAGATGGTCAGTGCCTTCCTCTTCTTGGTAAATGAATTTAATAAAATTAACATCTGCTCTATGATAATTATTGCCCCCTCTCTTCCCCTTGAAGACCATCTCTGACGGTTTGAGTCTAATTACTAAAAACTATGACAGTTTTCTCTCTATCCTTTCTTGTTGACGATCAAATGTTAGCAAACTACTTATAAATGAAACAAAACTCATGTTTGTGTGTGAGTCACTCCTTACAGACCATGTTGCTTTCCTGGGCTTGTCTCCAGGCTCCAAGATGGGCAGTTGCTTCATGGTGTCCTATGCACAAGAAAAAAAGGCACTTTTTAGACATTTGTGATTATTTTCTCCCTAAAACAAAATCAGGACAAAGACCCTTACTCCTTTAAAAACTTTCCTGTTGAATGTTCCAATATCTAAGGCCCGATTAATCTGCATAAGCATCACCCCCCCCAAACCCTTTTGAGACAGGATCTTGCTATGTAGTTCAGGCTGGCCTTGAACTCATTATGTAGTCCAGGCAGGCCTTCAACTAGTGGTGATCCTCCTGCCTCAGCCTCCTGTGTGCTGGGATTATAGCAGTGCAACACCATACCTAGCCCCCCCAGCTCTTTTTATATTTTGAGACAGTTTTGCTTAAGTTGCCCAAATTGGGCTGGAACTTGCCATTCTCCTGCCTCAGCCTCCTGAGAAACTGGGATTGCTGGTGTGTGCCATCAACCTTTTCACAGGAATTTTTTCTTTCCTTTCTTTTTTTTTTTTTCTCTCTTTTTGGTACTGGAGGTTGAACCCACAGTTTCACATATATTAGGTGAGCATTCTACCTGTAGACTACATCCCTGGCCCTTAACATAACTATGTAAGTTTTTTGGCTACAGTTTTCTGAGATTCTCATGGGGAAGGGACATATATAAAGTTTTCAAAGGTGATAAGATGTTTATGTTTATCAAAGAGAAAACACTCTAAGAGGCTGAGAAATACTTAATTCTAGGATAAATCTTGGCTTCCCTATGGCACAGAAGGCCAGGCCTTCTGGGCTTAATCTTTTTTTCTAATAGTTCAGCTCCTCATCTCTTGTAATATTGGGCTTTTCCTTTTCTCCTAATATGGTAGGCACTTTCAAAGCCTGTAACCTCCTTCCCTACCTGATACGTTCCTTCCTTTTTTATGAACATACAACCTCCTAGTCAAGCTCCAATGCCCAGTCCAAAAGTCCCTTCTGCAATGATTTTCTGCTTTACACTTCCATTGCCCCAAGCTACTTCCTTCTGCTTCAGGGCTCTGCTGGTATCTATTAAGTCACCAGCACTGCAAGAATCACTCTGAATGTCATTATCTATTTTTAAATCTCTAGATTATATTCAAGACTAAATTCCACTATACTAAATTCCTAGAGTGCTGGGCCTGTCCCATTCATTCTGATAATCTACCAATGGCCCCAGCATATAGTAGAAGTGATGAATGAGTGAATACAGAAACATAATGGATTGAGGGACAGAAGAAAGGAGAAAGTCCACCTGCATCCTAGGTCACTGACTGCTGTCCCCAGAGGCCAGAGCGCAGCAGGGTGGGCTTCCTGTGGGTCGGAACCTCGCGCAGCCCCCCTCCCCTCCTTTCCTCCCCCACTCCGGTTCTCCGGGAGTCCCATCCTCCAGTGGCAGCTTTTGGGGACAGCAGACCGGGTCAGGAGAGCAATGGCTGCTCGCTTTCGGGCAATGCGGCCGGACCGGAGATCAAGGACGCAGCCCTTTCCACCTGGCTCAGGCTCAGTCCCCTAAGGATGCAGCGGACCCTTCCCGCGTTCGCCCTTCGACCTGGGTCCGACACCCCCAGCCCAGGACCACGTTACCTGCGACAGTTTAGGCCAGTCCCCGGCCTGGTTCCACCCACAGGGGCGGGGCATAGACATCGCCCCTCCCCCGTCCCGGAAACCGGTCGGGGCCAACCGCAGGGCTTCTCCCTGCGTCCGCCCAGCCCCAAAGCCTTGACGCTCTGCATCCCCTGTATCTCGGGGAACCTGCTGAGCCTTCCCTGGGCACTGCCGAGTAAATAAGCCCGGGCTACTTGGAAGCAACTCACAGGGAAATGCCTGGGGCTGGGCGTCCACGTGGGTGACCCAAGTTCCTTGGGCAGCTGTCTGCCCTATAAAAGCTAGCGACTGCAGTTTTAGTTACAGAGGTAGTTTATTGTTGTTGGTTGTGTGTGTGTGTGTGTGTGTGTG